GAAAGGGCCAGGAACCTGGTGATGTAATCATCTGTCCTCATGTTTCCTTGTTTGAAGGACCGGATTTGCTGACGCGCCCAGTCACGATCAGCTTGTGGTTTGAAGTATTTTTCGATCTCCTTCTTGAGATCCTCCCAGGTTGGCCACACTCCCGCGGTGTAGCACTCCTGAAGTCTTACTTGGGCGTATCGACCTGCCACAGGTCCTTTTAGTCGAGATAGCACCACGGTGGCTACCTCAAAATCGTCGGCAAACGTGTCCCAGTTTGCCTTGACCCAAATCTGAAGCTTGATCCACCACTCGGCAAATTGCGCTCTGTCTCCTTCAAAGGCGCCGGGGTCAGCGATGATTTCGACTTTTTTGTTGAATTTCTTTTCCACCGAGGGGGTTGCTACAGGGGGGTTTGTCTGTAGCTCGGCAAGTTGCAAGGTTAATGTTGCGATCTGCGTATGCATAGCGTGCAGTATTGCATTCATATCTGGTTGCGACGACATGTCGACTTGTTCTCTTTGTAAAGTAAAAAAAAGGTAACTGGGGGTCCCCGCTTGCTATCTGCGGATCTACCTCTTCCCAGCTGAGTATCGGATCTCAATCTCCGACTACCCACACTATAGTATTTTGAAAAGTATATAAAAAGTATTTGTAGGAAACCCTGGTCCGAACGGTTGTCAGGGGGTGGTCCGCTTGTTAAGCTGTCAACCCTTCTCCAACTGGCAGAGGCAAGTGCCCGGCCTGGTCAGAGGAAAGCGAAATTGAAGTTGTGTATTTTAATTCTAATCAACAGTGGTTCCACACCAACTGCTGAGCTAAGTACTCCCCTTAACGCTGGGGGCCGCGTATCAACAGTTTTGGTTCTTCTGGTAAGAAGTGTATGATTATGGACTATGGCTATGTAAATGAGCATACGGTTTAAAATGCATACCCACTACCGTTGATCAGTCAGCTAGTAGACAAGTTGGCTGGTGCCAAGATCTTAACAAAGATGGATCTTAGATGGGGGTACAATAACATATGAATCAAAGAGACAGATGCTTGGAAGGCCGCGTTCATGTGCCACCGAGGATCCTTTGAGCCCCTTGTCATGTTCTTTGGGTTGACCAATTCACCGGCGACCTTCCAGAGCATGATGAATGAGATCTTTGCGGATATGGAAAACTGTGTCGTCATTTACATTGACAATTTGTTAATATTTACAAAGTCGGACGATGAGGCTGAGCATGACAGGATCGTGCAAGAAGTCCTTTGACGCTTACAGGAACGGGACTTATTTGTCAAACCCAAAAAATGTAATTTTAAAGTAAAGGAAGTAGACTTCCTCGGTATGATAATAGGCCAGAACGGAATCAGGATGGATCCTGAGAAAGTTCAAGCTATCTTGGATTGGCCCAAACCTACTCGCATCAAAGGAGTTAGGGCCTTCCTTGGCTTGGGCAATTTCTACCGAAGATTTGTTAAAAACTTTGCAAAAATAATGAGACCGTTGAACGATCTCACTAAAAAGGACATTGTTTGGCATTGGGGCGCCAAGGAACAAGAAGCTTTTGATCAACTTAAACAGGCATTTACAACAGCGCCCATATTAGCATTTCCAGAATTAGACAAAGAGTTCTGGCTAGAAACCAACTCTTCTGATTTTGCTACTGGGGCTGTTCTATCAATTAAATGCACTGACAATCTTTGGAGGCCTTGTGCCTATTTATTGCATAGTTTGTTGCCTACAGAGTGCAACTATCAAATATACGATAAGGAGATGCTGGCCATCATTAGAGCTCTAGAGCACTGGCGGCACTACTTAGAAGGTGCTAGGCACCAATTTGAAATTTGGACCGATCATAAGAACCTGGAGTATTTTATGATGGCTCGAGACTTGAACCGAAGACAGGCCCGCTACGCGGTATACTTGTCAAGGTTTAATTATAAATTAATTCATAAGCCTGGAAGCTCTATGGGGAAAGCGGACACTTTATCCAGAAGAGAGGATCATGCCAATGGCATTGAAGATGACAACAAAGGTGTTACCTTGATAGACCAATCAAGGGTTGCCAATGTTAGAATCGGGCAGGATTCCGATCTTCTGGAAGTCTTCAAGAAAGACATCTCCTCAGAAGAGAAGGTGCGCCTTGCCGGCAATGAAAATTATTTATGGGAAGACGGGCTCTTCCATTTCAAAGACAAAATCTATGTGCCTGAGTCCGCAAGGATCAAGGCAATAGATAGACACCACGACACTCCAGTGGCTGGGCACCCTGGGTGGCAATGAACGATGGAGTTGATCTCCAGAAACTATATGTGGCCTGGCATGGTCAAAGACGTACAGGAATACGTAAAATCCTGTCTGAGATGTGCCATGGCTAAAAATTCTCACCAACCGCCGGCCGGTAAACTTATGCCGAATCCAATACCAGCTGGTACCTGGCAGGATATATCGGTTGATTTCACGACGGATCTGCCCGAGTCAAATGGGTACAATTCAGTAATGGTAGTAGTGGATCGCTTCTCCAAAGAAGTGGTATTCATACCTACCAATAAAACCATTACCGCCGCTGGTACGGCAGATTTATTTAAAGACTTTGTATGGTCTATCCACGGGTTACCAGAAACGGTTATCTCCGATAGAGGACCTCAATTTGCTAGCAAATTTATGAAAGAATTATGCCGGATGCTGGGCATCAAACCTAAATTATCAATGGTGTTCCATCTGCAAACTGATGGACAAATAGAGAGACTCAACCAGGAGTTGAAACAATATCTCCGAATATTTATTAATGACAGGCAGACGGATTGGGCCAAGTGGCTAAAAATAGCCCAGTTCTCATATAATATCAAACAGTCGTCGGCTACAGGAAAGGCACTGTTCAAGGTTACTAGATCGTACCTCCCCAGAATGGGTGTAGAACCTGGGAAAAACAAGAACGAGGCTGCTGGGAACATGGCCAAGGACATAAAATCTGTCTTAGATGAAACATGCAAGGTGCTATTTAAAACTGCAGAGCAAATGAAAAACAGGGCAGAGCTTAGACGCTCTAAAGCCCCTGATTACAAGGTCGGCGACCTGGTCTGGTTAGACACCGACCACTTAAAATCAAAAGATCGGCAGTCTAGAAAACTGACCAAAAAGTGGATTGGCCCTTACCAGATTAAGGAAGTCAAACCCAACGCGGTGGAGCTGGAACTCCCAAAACGAATGAGGGTAGTACCGACGGTCAACATAAGCCGTGTGAAACCCTACAAAGGGCCGCTGCCGGGACAGCGTGTAGACCGGCCCGGACCAGTTGTAGTCACCCAGGAAGGTGAAGAAGAGTTCAAAGTCGAACGGGTGGTGGATGCACGCTTGAAGCATGCTAAATTAGAATTCCTAGTCCTATGGAAGGGCTATGGAGACAAGGACAGAACGTGGGAACCAGAAACCCATCTGGACAATTCCCGCGACGCTGTTCGCGAATTCTATTCTAAGAATCCCTCAGCTCCTAGGAAGCTTAGAGGCATGGATTCAAAACTTTTTAATTCTCTTTTTCAACCTGTGCCCAAAATTTTAACTACTACCTCCGATATTTGGTCGAGCCTGGAAGTCGAGCCTTAGAAGGGGGGTAGTGTTACGATAACACAATTTTCGGACCTTCCCTTTACTTTTATTCTCCGCTTTAACCTTGTGCTTTAGCTTTCACACATGGCGCCACGCGGCATTTTCCCCTTTTGGTTCTAACTCCTCTTTCTCGTGCCGCATTGCCTTTCTTCTTATTTTGGACTCAACTCTCTCACACAGTGGAGCTGATCATGCAGGCTAGGCCCCATGACATCATCAGCCACTGTCTCTATCAACTGTATAGTACACATGTACAAATAACCCTGTAGTAGTATATATACCCCAATAGATTAAGGAGACTCCTCAGCGAGTCCTCCTGTTGTATACCAACTAACTCACTGAAACCTGAGAGGTGATCCCTCCTTCTCTTTTCTCTACAGTGTGTTCCTGTGTGCGCCAGAGTTTATCTTGGTGGTTACACCATGGGTAGCAAGCAACTGGTTACCCTGCTGCATTTGAAAAGGGGGCTGCAACTGAGGGTGTGCAGGTCCAGCTAATGGCTGAGGCATGTTATTATCATCCACAGGTCCTCCAAAATTTGGTTGCGCAATATTTCTATTTCTCAAATCTCTTTGATCCAAGAGGTGCTCTCGTTGTACACTTGGTGATGTCATCTGTTGATGACGTTGTATGCGATCTCTATCGCGATGTTCACCACGTTCTCGTTCAGGAGTCTGTGGAATATATCTACAAATCACATCAATATATCAGTTAATGGTTAATGACACATTAACAATGCTACACATACTGCATATTTGAATTGCTCATATTCATATTTATGTATTTGCTATGTGCACTGATTTGTTGATAATTTGGGCTTCTGTAATCAATGTGTCAGTTTTAATTGAATCAACACCATAAACTGTTATAAACTCACATTGTGTAAGCTGTGTTTTTATGTGTGGGGAAGGGTCTTTGATTTTATTTTTATGCACACCACAGTGTGGTCAATAATGGCTGTTAATTTTTGTAATGCAAAATGTGCAAATTCTCGACAACAATTTGTTTTGTGTGTAGGGCCAGACCACTCTCCCACATAGTAGGAAAAGAGGTTTGTTTGATTGAGTTGTGTCACGTCGTGCCACAGGCGTGAGTTTTGGTGTCACTATATCGCGTTTTGTAGTAAAAATGATTAAGCGCGAGAATTTTTAATGTGGCTACAATTTTCACTACAATTGTTGAATGTTCTTATAACCGTGAGAATTTTCAATGTGGCTGCAATTTTCACTGCACTCGTTACTACTGCACTACCTTCCCTCTACTGCTAACCGAAAACCACGCGAGCGAAACTAAGCGAAAAAACGTGCTCCCACGTGTGCCGCACGCGACTTTTGGGACCACCGTCCCCTTCGTTATAGATTATAGATAGATTCGTTTTAGATCACAGTGATAACAAAGGTGTCGTATCGAAAAAACCAGCATGTCTGATCTTTCTTCACTTTTGCAAGCTTCTCTTGTGCCCGCTACTAGAAAACAGGCTGAACAGCAGCTCGATTCTCTTGTGGCACAGCCAGGCTTTCTCTCACATATCCTTCGTCTCATTCTCGATTCATCTCAACAACACCCAATTAGACTCGCAGGTGCTGTGTATCTTAAAAATCTCGCGAAGTTAAGATGGGAAGAGGTAGGTAGATCTTCCTCGTGGGTTCATTCACATTTATTTCTTGTTCGTTCTAGGAAGTTGCCCCCTTGCCTGAACAAGATAAAGCGTCGCTTCGTATCGAGCTTGTGCCAGCAATGATTGTACTGTCTGGTCCATCCGACAAGTTAATCCGTGCTCAGATCGCAGAATCTGTCGCTCTTATTGCAGAGTTGGACTTCCCTCTGAAATGGGACAATTTGATTGATGTATGTCCATGATTTTACAGAACTGCCCATCAATGCTAATTAGCCACACCAGCAACTGGTGTCATCCCTTTCACCAACGGAGTACAATATAAACATTGGTGTCCTTGAAACTGCTCACTCTATCTTCCGCCAGTGGCGGGCCCATGTTCGATCTGATCAGCTTTATTCAGAAATAAACTTTGTTCTCTCTCGTTTTGTTGACCCCTTCCTGCAATTGTTCCGCCAGTCCGCCCACATCTTGCTGTCATCTCCACCTCCCCCCAATCTTGCATTAGTAGCACAAACCCAGATCCTCCTCATTGATGTCTTTTATGACTTTACCTGCCACGACTTACCTCCTGCTATCGAAGACTCTCATCAAGAATTCTTCGCCCCATCTACTGGGTGGTTCCATCGGTTCCTCACATGGGACCCATCAGACCTGCAAGGAGATGTGCGCTATCCATTTGTTGTGTTGCCTTGATTCGATACTTACGTTTGTTCTAGCCCGATGACACACTCCCTTCGCTCCCGACTCAACTCAAAACGGTGATCTTTGAAACCGCTGAGGTACCTTTATTTCGAGACCCCCTTAATCTCAGAATTTCACACACTTTTTCAGCTTTACATTAAATTATATCCCGACCAACTCTCTCAGTCTCAGGCCGTTGAAGCATTTGTAGGGGGTGTCTGGCAACTTGTCGGCTCGGGAAGGTTACCCGGCGTCGCAGATGATGCGGTTCGTTTATTCCCAAGTCGCACCGCATCTAGTGTCCTTCCTTATCGCTATCCTGTAGCTTGTTTCCCAGTCCCTCCGCTTCATTTCTACTGCCATTCGCTCGGGGTACTATAAGCCCCTCTTCTCCTCTCGTGAAACCATATCTTCTCTCATTCAAGGGGTAGTTGTGCCTAATGTCTCTCTTAGAGAGCATGAAATGGAACAATTTGAAGACGATCCTCTGGAATTCATCCGTCTTGACCTTGCACTTCCCGGCGGGACGTCAGACGTAGCAACGCGGAGACAGGCAGCGGCAGACGTGCTGCAAGCTCTTGTTGGTTCTGGGTACGAAGCGGAAACAACAGAGATCGTAGGCGAGTGGATTGGAACAGGCTTACAAGAGTACAATTCCAATCCAAGCCAAAATTGGAAGGCTAAGGATGGCGCGGTGTATCTCCTTACCGCCGTCGCTACGCGTGGATCAACGACTCAGGTATGCTCCTTCTGACATTGATGTAACTCGGCCGACGATATTTGTAATAGCACGGTGTGACGTCGACGAATGCTCTCGTGGACATTGTTAAATTTTTCTCCGAACATGTTTATCAAGATCTGCAGGCAGGACAAGGCAGTGTACACCCGATCTTGCAAGTTGATGCTATCCGGTTTTTGCATACTTTCCGCAACCAAGTATTATTTAGGCCATGTCTTCGTATAGATATCCACTGACTTTTTCCATCGTTAAGCTGACAAAACCCCAGCTGCTGTCCGTCCTTCCACTCCTTGTGCGGCACTTGGGTTCTCCCAACTATGTCACGTATACATATGCTGCGATTACTATCGACCGTATTTTGTTCATCAAGCAGGGAAATCAGCTGTTGTAAGCACACCAGCCCTACCATTTCCGCTATTCCCTAACATATTTTTACCCTGCCTTCTCAAGGTTCTCACAGGCTGACATTCATGATTTTGCATCGGATCTACTCGATGCTATCCTCAGCAAAGTGGAGGCGGCAGGAACACCTGAAAAAGTGGCAGAAAATGACCATCTGATGAAATGTTTGAAACATTCATGTTACAAAGTGACTGCTACTTATCTCTCTATTTGACAGGCGCGATGCGCGTTATTGTCACGGCGCGACAAACACTTACTCCAGTATATCAGCAAATACTCCAGCGCCTCGTGGGCATTCTTGGTGTTCTCTGTAAGAACCCGAGCAATCCCAACTTCGACCAGTATATTTTTGAAAGTATCGCTGCGCTCATGCGGTCTGTTTTCTTGTCTTTTTAAGTGAGCATAGTCGTTGCTGATTCCAGTTTATAGCTTTGTTGTGAGTGGCAATCCAGAAACTCTCTCGACGTTTGAGCGAAGCCTGTTTGGCCCATTCACAGTCATCCTACAACAGGACATCGATCGTAATTCTATCCTCCTTTTCATTTGAGCTCTAAAATAATCCACACTCAGAATACATTCCATATGTCTTCCAAATACTGGCACAAATGCTGGAGATGCACAAGGCTAACGTACCGACAGAGTATCGTAATCTTTTGCCATTCCTGCTTACTCCTACATGCTGGCAGCAAAAGGGGAGCATTCCTGGTCTTGTTAAACTTCTAAAAGCTTTCCTTGCGAGGGATGCGCAACAGATGCTCTCAACAGGTCAGATCACTGCCGTGCTGGCTGTCATCCAGCAGCGTCTTGTACCGTCAAAAATTAATGATGCATGGGGCTTTGAGTTGTTGCAAAGTGTCGTGCAGCATATTCCGCCGTAGGTCTTGTCTTTCCTGTGTTTCATTGCATGGTTCTTATTTTGGTCCTACGCTGTAGCGCACAGCTACGCCAATACTTCAAAGTCTTGGTTATGACTCTACTCACGCGAATGCAAACCAGTAAGACAGACAAATATGTCTACCTTTTCTCCCACTTCTTCCTCTTCACGATGTCTATCGACGTGGAGGGCCTTGGACCAGACTATGTAATTTCAACCGTTGAAGAGGTTCAGCCACAGTAAGGGGTGTTTTTCTCCCGCCTGCTCAGGAAATGATGCTTGGCGGTTACACAGGCTCTGGTCACAAATCCTTATCAATTTTATTGTACCGCAAATTTCAAAAATGCCTCACAAGGACCGTAAAGTCGCTGCAATCGGACTGACGAGAATGCTCACTCAAAGTTCCCTCATGCTGCAAGACCCAAGTGCACAGAGCTGGTACATCGAGTTCTCGTGTCTATCTTGTCTCGTGTATTCAAACCATATTTTAATAGGCCAGGAGCTTTTGTTGCACTAGCTAAACTCTTTAATGAGCCCCAGTACCTCACAAAGGCTACCGAGGAAGAACAAGATGTTGGCTTGACATCAATTGACTTTGAAGAGCAGACTGTGGGATATCAGGCTGCATACTCACGGCTGGCTGCCTCAGAAACAGCACCAGCGGATCCCGTCGCGTACGTGAAGGACCCGAAGGAGTTCCTGGGTCAAGCACTTGTCAAAGCAGACCCTAAGGTCAAAAGCTTGCTCTTGGTAGGAGATGCTAGCAGTGTTCAGCCGTTTGTGCAGTCCTTGGCTGCTGCGGGATTCATTATTCGGTAAAATAAAAGGAATCGAGATAGAGGAGTGAGATAGAGCATCAAACCAAGTTGAAACATGGCGTCAACGAGTAGAACAGGTACCATTATTGTATAGAAATATCATCAATGCACTTTGTGAATGCGGAGCCTTTCAGTGTTGACCCGAACTTTGTTGCCTATCATAAACATGGGCAAGTCCCAGCGATCGACTCAACTGATAATACAATCATCCTTGAAGCTTAAATTATACATCGTTTTATCAACCGTCTTTTCGATTTTTTTCCAGTCAGAACGTCGCTGAATGAATTCGTAGACATCCTTGAATGCCAGTCAGTAAAGCGAGTGTTCAACGTCATGTCTGGCGACACACACCTCGGGTCGATAAGCACCGCCATACCTAGTAACATCTCTCACAATCTGCGCAAGATCTTTGGCGTCCTCGACAACAAAGACATGGCCCAGCATTTTCAGGTGTGAGAAATCTGCTGTGATGCTTGATACCTAGGAGTAATTTTAGACGCCGTGCTAGACTAGTGTGTGACTGTAGACATACTTTGAGAGACGAGATGAATGTATAGTACGCATTGAGGTCAGCGATAACTTGAAATCCCCCGTTGAGCGATATAATCTGCCTTTTAATGTGCTTCTGCAGGATACTACAAATACAGGAACGCGTTGAGTAATAGTGCTGCGTGTCCTATAATATCTAGCACTTACCCTATGAGCCGAATCCCCACCTCCTGATAGAAAACCTCCAGGACTTCCTTACTTGTACTTCCTTTTAACAGTTTGCAGTGTGTCTCCAGACATTTGATGGCCTCGGTACATCCTTGTGTCGGGCCAAGTTCGAGGGGTGCATCTTCTGGAGGGTAATATTCACGAGGTTTGGTCAGTGTCAAAATAATGTGTTCCACCTAACAGGATTGTCGTCAGTGATTACACTTTAACGCATCAGCCAGTTGATGCGGTAAGCATACTTGATTCATCAAGACCTGTGTGCCAGCGTTAAGTCCGGCGGCCACGCTATCATCTAAGACATTCTCAAATCGCTTCTTTTCACGAACAACCGCATTCAAGAAGTCAGTGCGATCAATGTGTGGGGCCTGGCGGGAACAAAAGTTGTCAATAGACATTCTGTTGCATGAACTTGAGACATTCACACACCAATTCTTTATCAAAGTAAACCTGGACCATGGACTGGATTGTATCGCCAACATGGACAAGCTCGAAGAACTGAAGCAAGGGATCTACACTTGTCGTCTCCTCGTGCTCAGCAGGCTTATACGAGGTCATTTGCTCTGTGGCTCTAGAATCTGATCAGCGCTCTGTTTGAATATTAAAGAGAGAGACACAAATGAAAAAGGGAGTTAACTTGTATGTCTACAAAGACATTGACTGCTGGGAAGGATTTTCCTATAACTTACAACTGAAACCCAGGAGCTATATGCCGGCCACTCATACCTTGAAGCATTAATATGAAGATCTCCTCAATAGTATCGCGTACACGGTGACCGTAATGTCCGGGATAGGCCGCAAACGTTTCCGCGCGTTTCAAAGCCTCTCGGTCAGCATGAATAAGCTCTAAGGAAACATCTAAAGAAAGCAACAGATCAAGCTTGTCTAGGTTGCCGTTTGTAGCGTGCAATGCGGGCACTGAAACTACTGAAGTTGGAGCAGTACTGACGGTATCCGAACTAGTATGAAGAGTCGATATAGTAGCTGAAACGTATTTTTGATTAGTAGCACCAGAGAAAATATATGAAAAGAAATAATACATCGTGAAAGAGACTGCGAATCTCTGCCTTTTTCGTCTCCGTTCTCGTTAACAGCGTCACTATCCTCTCCGATCTCGAAGACTACCCCATCGGGCATGTCGTCCTTTTCGAGGTCTTTGGAGTATCCTCGCTGTTCGCCGCCCACCCATCGCTGGGGATTGAGCATTGCGATACCCTGCACAGCTGCATTACCGCCAGTCGTTAGGACTGCACCGACTGCACCGACAGTACGGGGTACGATGGTCACTGGAAGAAGAAGTATGTCTGTGAATGACGCAAGCACATTTCTTTTGACTTGAGCAGGATTATGAGAATTGAGGAAGCGAGTGGCTGATGCTGTATTAATAGGTTTTGTAGCCTGGCCGCTGATCTTAAAATCGTAAGTAAAATTAGTACAGTCCGACGATACACAGAAGGAAAGCTGACTGTATTCTCCCATCGACGGCAGATCACCTCAAATATCTGTTTCAGGGATTCGACCTCTTCGTCCAGATATTCGTCCATGTTGACCTCATACATACGATAGCTGATGAAGCGTATATGAACCACAAGCGAAACTAAGAGTGAAACATAACATACACAACATCCTCAGCTTGCGAACGGGATACATTTGAATCCTTTCGTTCACCGGAGACCTTTTCTATGATTTCCACAATGCGCCAAGCTTCCCGGAAGCTTGCTGCGGTAGCTTTTAAGTATACCTCATTAGAGATCTCGCGAGCGCGGGTGAGCAATGGCGAGATATATTCGCCTACCTGTTTAATAAGAAGCAAAAAAGTGATGGAATAAATGAGAACAATAGACGTACCACTTCGGTGGCAACGCGTTCTGCAAATCCTAGAAGTACGCGTGAGGCGGGTGGAAAGACACGGACAGCTCTCGCCCCATGTTCTTCAAGTGAAGATAGCGTGTTCGTCATGAAACTATCCATCGCATCAAAATCGAGTAAACCATCCTGGCTACAGACAATATGTAGCACCGCACTTGATAATAGAAATATGAGACGTACGTGAAATTGGCAAGAGGATCCCAGCGACCTTGTTCGTAGAATATCTCCCTTTTTTCAGCCCATACCTTACCCATCTCCCAGTCTCCTTGTCCTGTCCAGACTTCCCAGCTCGATTGGGCGGCATCTCGCATGCCGACTTCGTCGCCTTTGCTATCTGCAGTGTCGAATGCGGTCAAAAGACCTGAGTCGAACCTGTCGATTGCGGAATGGAGGGATGCTGAGGATGCAACCCAAGCTCTAACTGGTTGCACGCGCGGAGAGAGGAACAGAGAAAGCAGATGCAAGATCCTGGATTGCTGTATCAGAGTGGTGTTAAGAAGTTCTGAAAGCTCTGAAAGAACGGTGTGAGGGGGGGAGGACAAAGGTGTCAAACACTGCTTCAGAATGTTGTGTGCGCGCATATACCTGGCGCGGGAAGAGTGTTTTGAGGGCATTGGCTGTGGTGGTGAGGTGGTGAAACCGGGGAAATCAGGGTATGAGAGGGAGACAGAGCTGTTTGCGGTGGTAAAGTCACCAAAGTCGTCGTCGAGGGAATGGACTGGTATGGTGGGCGGTGAGCGGGAGGCATTGGACTTTGGCTGCAGCTTGGCCTCTATTTCATCCAGTGTGGCGGAGAGACCCAGGGTGTCTACCTGCAAGGCTGCCCATCTCAAGTCCCATATCCTGTCTTCCCGCGCAAGCTTGGCTGTCGCGCGAGAACACCTACTGTACGACGGTATGTCCGGAATCGGTAGGTGACTGAGCACGAGCACGTGAAGATCTCTGGGCAGCCGTCCTACCGTTCGCTCACCACTCGCCCCTTTGCTGCCTTTGGGCGCACGAGCGCTCGTCGACGTGCCAGACACATACAGCCTCACTGGTTCCAGCGTCGTGAACTTGTCCATGCCTGTAGGATTACACAGATAAGATGGCCCCGCAGTACAGGTCAAAGGTGGTTATGCTTTACGAAATACAAGAATACCCTCGCCTAGACCCTAACCCTATATCTGAGTTACCGCCGGCAAGTCACTGATCGTGAAACCTTTCTGTTGAAACTACTCTGCCAAACCTCACCCCACCTTCACCTATCCCTTCTATCGCTTTTCTAACGACATTTCATACCATATCTACCCAGGAATACCATTTCATGGTCGCCGTATCCTCTCCACAGACTAATGAATCAGAGCAAAAGAGACGGAAGCAGACCCTGGAGAGGGCCAAGGCCAACCATGTATCCTCATTAGTCCCATCGCACCTAGAAAACCTCTGACAAAACTTATCTAGCTATCAAAACAGCTCCAGATGCGCCTACAATATGCAAAACTCAAGGTTGAACATGGCTGGGTGTGTTCATGTTGTCCGACCTGGACTCGGACTCTTTCACTAAAGCTTCATACTATAGCAAAGACAAAACTTAAACGAAGTGGAAAATCTTTACTTTCACCATTCCCATCTTCGCGGGCCACGCCCTACCACTCTTTCAAAGCCTCAACCCACAACATTTACACCTAGTCCTACTTCCAACCCTGTGGCTGCGGGTCCTTCCACCGTCCAGTTGAAGGATACTCTCCCTCCATCTTCCAACGATGCCAATCTGTTCGTGCAAGCCATAGGACATCATAATTTTACGGAGACCCAAGGTGGATTATGTGGTCTTTCTGGTGCAGAAGCCACTTCAGATACGTCAGCCACCGATGAGGAGAACCGAGGTCCAGGTCCAGCATCGTATACTGTGACGCCCCCTTACTCTGAACCGCCCGTATCGTATAACGGGAAATCATCCTCGCCGCCCACGTTCTCCGAGTCCCAAACGCAACCGCAAATGCAGGCAGACAATGGATCCACTACCTCTCGTAATAATATCCGACGATCCCCAGCTCACTCCAGCACTGACACTATTCTGACCCAATCTTCACAAGCCGATATGTTTAGCCCGACAATTGTGCAACTATCTGGGACCCACTCACCAACTCCTTTCTTCCCCTCACCCACATCTCGCTCAGAACCTTTTGACTTTTCAGCTGATCCTTTGCGACCTGCATTATCGCGAGAACCATCTCAATCGCACCTGTCAGCCAGACGTCCCTCTGCGCCTTCCATATCTTCATCTAATACCGTCAATCAAATATTTTCGACAAATTCTCCACTTACGTACGATTCCTTCTGGTCTTCACATTCCTCATCCACTCTGGCGTACCGTAATATGCTGTCCAGTGCAGGTATTATGGGAGGCAATGTGAACCCCACGCTGGCAATCCGTTCTGGAAATGGAGTTGTCGGCATACCGTCACCACTTATACACGCCACTACGTTTGATGCTAGTAGGAGAGGACTCACTCCCAGCAGTAATAGCCCTGCACAGATTGTGTCGGGTAATGAAGCTCGGTAACGGTCTATATCAAGTCGAAAACCGCTAGCACCTACCTCATCTCTGCATTACTTGCAGCCATCAGTTGATGGCGTGACCATGATATACTTATTATGTACTGTACTGATCACAGATCATCTATAGCAACTGTCTAAGTGCCCTTTCGATACAGGCTTTGGTATATAACGGCTATAGTACTACGAAATTAAGCGACAAGTTGGGTGCTTTTGGATAATATACTAGCAACTACAGAATCTGGGAGTGCTCCCAAGTGATGAAAAATCACAAATTCAATAATATCTATCCTCATGCAAACCAACCAAAGAATTTAAATAAGCCACATAGACAACCTCCAGCAATAATCGGTAGTGTCATATTGTCATCGAGGGATCCAAGGTCTAGATGTTGAGTATTATGAGCGTTACATACGACAAGACAAACATATCACTTGCCCAAAGCTTCCGCGACACCTGAAACCATTCCGGCAAATAATGTAATAGCACTTAAACCCAGCCAGCCGCCTGCCTTGATGCCAGACATTCCAATACTTGCCAGTGCAGACTTTACAGGTTCTTGGCCGGTAACAAAGGCAGTAGATACACCCTGATCCCATGACCAGCTAAGGTCGGAATAACGCATTGGCCCGACCCAGGTCCAAAAGCTAGCTGCAATGCAAGCGCCCGTTATACTGGCTGCAATGAAGCCAGCCAGAGATTTGCGAGGGGCAAGAGGAAGGCAGAGAATGGGAAGACGACGAGGTAAAGGGGGTGTGTAGGATCCAAATAAACGACCGAATGTGGAAGCAGCCGTATCGGCCCAGGAGAGACTGGTCAGTGGTGATCAGATACAGGCTACCAAGGCAGCACAGGCGAGATAAGGGAATACGTAATAAACGCACATAAGAATAGCAACCACCGCTATGTCTAGCGGATATGCCAAAAGGGCAAAATTTACACCCAAGATGTACCATATTACGCCATTAGATGATTTCTAGTCGTTATCAGGTTATAGACGACCTCTAAGAGCAGAAATGAATTCATACCTTTTCGCTTTCACGCATGAGGAAGCCTACACACTTCTCGAATGTACGTTCAAAGGTCGGGTACCGTAGGCGTAGAATATCCGCTGGCACGATAAATGCAAGAGCGGTACTCAAGACAACAACGACGTGTCTGGGTGATCCATGTGATGTATACAAGTAGATGGTAAAAAAGCCTTGACATTGATTAAGTGAAGTTATCGGTAGTGTCCAGAGATAATACTAACTTACCGATAGACGAGTGTAGTATTTTACGAGGAATCTCCCAGTCAACGTGTTTCTTTATAGTCCTTCCTCCGTTGGGCGTGTTTCGTGAAGATTTTATGTCAGTGTCTTTTTGTACTAGAGTTCGTAAATCATCGGAGTTCGATGCATCTTGAAGTATGGGAGCTCCATCAGGAAGATGAAGCGAATTTTGTCGAGACGATACTCGTCGCTTCCCGTTTCTCTTCATTCCATTGGCCTGCACACTGTTGTGAGGCGAAAAGGAGGTGGATTTTGTGGAAGATGAGAAAGATACTTTCGGAGACGTCGAACGCGACAAAGAATGGGAACGGCGATGCTGGTCGTGAGCAAGGCCGAGCGAAAATGCGTCGTTTGCAGGCAAGGTCATGGCAAGCGCACAAGTCTCCTCGGCACTCGCATCACACAAACACGAACCACACCTTACCCCATAAGGAAGCACCGGTCCTAGTACTAGTTAGGCCTTATGCCGGGCCTGTTATCACGCTCAAACTCTCAACACAACCAATAGCGGGCTCATTGGGCTCAACAAACGAGCATGTATTTTTGGGTTCACGGCATAGTACGACATAAACATAATGAGCAAGGTAACTAGTAAACATAGCCCAACAGCTTGCCACCAACGTTCTTGCGACGAGCTTCCTCGTGGTCGAGGATTCCTGAAGAGGTGGTCTACAGATATGTCAGCCTGGGCGCAAAGCATAAAAGAAATTGAGTATACCAAGATAATGATGCCAAAGCCACGGGCAGGAAGGAGTAAGTTAACCCAAGACTCAATTTGGGTTACTTGGACGTTAAACCGCGGCGATATAACACCAGTCTTATTTAAACGTCCATTCAGCTGTATGACAATCTTGCCTGACCGATGGTCATCGATGATTTCGAATTCACCGATGTAGCCTGTCGAGAATAAGAATTAGACAAATATCACAAGGGGGCAGACAGCCGGAACAAAACAAAACAAAACAAAAACAGAATCAGAAGCGATTATAAGTACATAAACACCCAAATATTGTTGTCTCTGCTGTGAACTCAGGTCCGTGGAAAAAGCAGACCAGTGTTGTTTGGTTATGAGAGACTATATGTTTGATATTTCGGAGCGTTAAAACGAGGGGCGGGTGGAAGCAAAACCTCGTCAATCGTAGTTATCACTCCGAGAGATGTAAACGTAATACAGACAGAAACGAGAATAACCAGCCAAAAAGAACTGTTAGCTGGAAAACTCCAACTCACCATGACGTTGCATAACACTGAGGAATTTGACAATGACCTTAGATGAGGGTCGAATAAGCACCTGGCGCTTGCCACGGCGCTCAGCATTGACGATGTTATTCTGGGAAAGTGTAAGGGATGAGGGTTTGCGCTTCCCACTGGACCGATAGTTAACTCACGAGACAGTCGTTCTACACACATACGTTATTTTGTAAATCGCTGGGGTATTTAAACACAAAAAGATCAACTCACCAATACTGATATGCGAACCATTTTTGATGCGTTTTAGAAAGCCGGAAAGAGGTTATGAACTGGCGGGTAAGACGCGACGTAAGTACCTATGCTCAGTCTGAGTGTCGTGCTACGAAAAGCGCGAGTCAAGACGAGCTGGAAAAAGCCAGGTCGAATGGTTGTGGACAAGCACTGTCATAGTTCACGATAGATGCGGAAAGCGTATTCACCTTGAAGTCTTGAAGAACGTTGACCGGGATTCGTATACTTGCACTGCAAACCTCGCAAGGAGAGATGTGAGTGGTGGCTGCTTGGCTGTATAGCACCAAATCAGCCACTTCGGGAACTTGCGGGCTCTCACTGGCCATTGGCAAGACCGGCACCACCAGCACCAGCACCGACACTCTCAACGTCCTCGACGCAAAAAAGACAGCAATATGGTACATGGCTCTAACAGCTGTATCGTGACAATCTTTCTTATCATCGAATTTTGTTGGCTAGGGTCGTGTTCGCACAAAAACAACCAAGAGGGCTTCCCGCGTGCTCATTGAAAAATAGTAAGTAACTTTCTTGATGCACAGGTAATGTTGTAGTAGAGAGAGGGTCTATGGGTTCTATCACGTTTGCTTTCTATCGTATACTGACATGAGGTTGTATTTTCCAGCTACCCTCGCTTGACCTTGGATTTCCACACTAACAAGCGGATCATCGATGAAGTTGTCTGTATCTTATCTGGCACACAACGTCTCCACGTCCTTACCTCATGTTTTTAGGCCATTGTTCCATCTAAACGTCTGCGGAACAAGATATCAGGTTTCACTACTCATTTAATGAAGCGTATTCAACGTGGACCTGTTCGTGGTATTTCCTTCAAGCTCCAGGAGGAGGAGCGCGAGCGAAAAGACAATTATGTGCCAGAGGTATCGGCCTTGGACACGAGCGCTACGGGCCTTGAGATCGACAGTGACACCAAGGTGCGTCCTAGCGATCCCCTCGTATATCTCTGATTTCTGATATCCTAGAGCAGGAACTTCTCCGTGCCCTCAACTTTGACTCTATTTCTGTCAATGTCGTCAACCCTGTCATTGCCCAAGTGGAGCGTGGACCTCGCCGGGACAGGCGCAATGTGCCAGGTGCTGGTCGGTCATAAGCTACTCTTTCCATGTGCTACGCACTATGATCATGTTATGTACCCGTATGCGAAACCGCTATTGACTCGCTCCACATCATTTCTATCAGGCATAAAACGACTTGCTAGCAATCTGAATACTCTTGGTACATCTTTGCTACTCTGAGGATGAATGAGTTTTCATATTCTTCTTTCCTCTTCTCGACTTCTAATCTGACTTTCCTGTTTGTGAGAACGAAACTAAGAATCCTTTTTTCCCCCTTCGAATTAACGCTTTCACATATCATAATGTTATTTCTAGTCAATGTCCCAGAACGAAATACTTGGAATCTGTCCTTCAGCTACTTCGTAGACCACAAAGAGGCATGGTAAGTCCTGGCCATACTTGCATATTTGCATCGAGTTATGCCCAGCTGTTTCTATGTCTTCCTGCGCTGCTGACAAAATGTGGTACTAGTTCATGTATGTTCATTAATAGCCTATGTCGCCAGTAAGTCCAAACATTGGAATACATACGAGACATGCGTGTTTTATGATAAGAAAATATGTAGAAGAATAGCTAATAGTTCAAAGTCCGTCGCTAGCGAAAATAACGAGTGCTAGGCTGCGGCGTGAAGCAGATCAGATCATTCCATCTCACAATACGAGCAACTATTCCTTACCCCATCACCCGACACTATTTGAGTTTCTATAGTGGGTCACGCTCAACAACATGGCAGCGGGATGATACAGCACATCCCTCCTCCCTATAAACAACGCATCAACGTTGCTCAAAAATTCAGGATCACACTCGTAACGTACGGGACATGGAACACAGCCTCCTCTCAGTCGGAAAGGTTCCCCAGTTGTCTGGTGATGTTGCATGCTGCGGTCACGGTCGCATGTAGACAGTGACATGTTTGACGATGGAGGGGGCTGAGTAGAAACTGTGTCCCTGTCTTTCGAGAGTGTATGCACTGGGGAAGGGTATCTGAGGTCAACTAATTGATTGGTAGACGACATCGCTAGTTGAGTGTGGTGGGTGACAATAGAGCTTTAGTGAGGGGATATGGTAAGTAAGAGGGCAAGGTATTGGATTGAACACTCCAGGAAGTATTAATATTGCTTTACCAGTGCAAGGCTCTGATACTATGACGTCGTAGTGCTACCCCTAACCCTGAGCACGGCGCAGTTACTACTTTCCTATTCTAGCTCCCTGGATTATTGTAGGGCTGCACTCTTATCAAACCATCTCGAAGCCATCTTCCTACTATTACAATGCCACCCAGCGAGTTTTCTCTGCGTCTCCAGCATGGTATGGTTCTCTGTTCCACATTATCTCTCCTCATATAGTTCTACAGGTATCACCGGCGGGTTTGCACCCCCTACCCCAAGCGCCATACACACTATTACCAAGGCCACTGCTAATAACCTTCTCATAACTTCTGCCGTTCGACCAGATGGTGAACCCAATCTAGTCCAATCTGCGTTGCCCAAGTCATTGGAATACAAAGACCACTCGCACTCGCCACTGGTAGACGAACTTCATACAATATTGAAATCGTTACCCACCGAGATTCCGCCAGGCAGTGAGGATATATATGGTCTGGATACAAGTATCGCTTGGGGAAGCAATGACTTGATGTGGGTCAATGGTGGGCCGCAAGGATGCGGTGGGGGGACAAGTGCAGTGCAGCCAACGGAAGAGGAGAAGAAGAAATTCAAGAGGGCGGTGGACATTGTGAAGACGTTGGTTACTAGCGAGTGATAAGGTAGGAGTCTGTGTATTCGATGTATCTGGATGGCAATCATGTATCTATATTCCTTGTCCATGTATATCTGTTCAACAAACACGGTATTTGCAACCCCTAAAATTGAATAACATGCTGTAAAGCAGCATACTTCCATCAACTCCTCGGTTTCCTTAAATTCAAATGCATCAAATGACAAGCTTCAAGAGGGCATCGTCGACTGACATACATTTAGTATCGGAGTATCGCCTCTTGGAAGTGGTGGATAAGGTGAAGGTCTTGGAATTGCAACGTTAACCTACCAAGCGCATGCACCACCGCTTTTTTGAACGCAGCCCGAATGATGACCGATCGATGACCGATGACCGCGGGGCCAATCCTTTCATTAAGCGGCCACCTCGCCTTATCATAATGTATTGACTTGCCCGGTACTTACCAAAATCCTTAATTCTTCGTGGTGCCTCACCTTACCTCACTCTTCTTGTAGAAGGGATGGCCATGATCACGATTTGTGTGTGTGAAGTCATGCAAGGTACCCGGGTCCCGCCATGTCCTCCTCGTCTCGCCTACTCCTCCAAGCACCTTAATCGATAACAGAGAAGCGGATTATTGATGCTGCTTCACTCCAGCTATGCATGATCTCTTATTCGTTCTCGTTCTCGCGCCCTCCCAAGTTTCCGATCCCAGTTTTTGACGCTCTGGAGAGAAGGCTATATGATATCGTAACGCCGCTCAGTTCTCGCAGGCACACAGGATGTCGTAGTTTATCCAAAGGTACTTGATCACGACCGACCGTTTCATTTAATTAGGACAGCATAATGGCGCTTGTTCAGCGCTCAGCGCTCAAGTCCTTTTCCGCTCAATTGGAATTTGACGCCTTGCAGAAGGACCACAGTAAGCGCATTGATTATCTAGTATCACAAAAGTAAACGTACAGCTAACAGCTCCCGTCCTGGCTTCAGGGGGGGGGGGACATATGTTGTTTCAATTATCCGTCAACGTTGACATGTGAGTGCATCTGGGTATGGAGCCTCGGACGATTTCGTTCTTGTTCGATAAATTCTGTGACAATTTAACACAATGATGAATGTAATTTGCGCCTTCATAAACACGAGGAACATGACAGAATGATGAGGAGAGATACTAGTCATCGTGGTGTTCGGAAGTTAACGTTCGACGCACTAGTCTACTTCAAGCCAGACTCTATTGTCCGATGGTTGAACACTACGAAATGAGTCCGATAGACAGTACCCGGCGGGGATGATGCGTTTATCCAGAGCGGCATTACTTAGGCTGTGAAATCTGCATTCCAGAAAATTGGCTGACTTTCCAACCTTCCCGAGGCGATGATGGGCATTCATGGGATGAGCTGACCATTGCTGTAAACGTGATCCAAGAATAGCGCTGGCTTGAGAAGTTTTCAGGCTGGAGATGGCGCTGGTGTGAGGTGGTCACTGTACTGGTGTTGGATCGTGCTGGGCAGTCGGTTGGATGGATAAGACGAAACCTTGATAGTTGTGGACGTACCAGGTAGATGATGCGGAGTCAAATCAGTGGCAGAAAGTAAGCTAATATTTGCCAATTGCAAAGGATCAAATGTGCTGTAAAGAGGAGCGTGACGTGAAGGCTATGAAGGTTTATACCCTTGTGAAAAGTGACAGTGGGAACATGTTCTCGGCGATTGCAACCACTGGTATCAGTGCTTGTCCGACCTTCGAGGACAAGTATACGTCGAAGGGCGTACTCCTCATCTGGAATCCGGATATAGTTTTACCGCTTCTAAATCTGTATGCGACACTGAGGAAGAGGCGAAGACGAGAAGACAAAAAGACTGACATGTGATTTTCAGTCGAATATCGAAATAAAACTCGCCCCACGAGAAGTGGATTAACAGGAAAGTATAAAGGAAATCGAATTCGCAGCCGAATCTAATGTTGCCAGCAAACAAATTACCAAGGTGAGATCGACAAGTTTAGATTTATATTCTTCGACTGGATGAGATAACTTGGATGAATAGAGGTGGAGATGTGCGAGTGAGAGAAATGACGGTTACTATAGAGTTTAAGCTTTGATCAGTTGTGAGTAAGTTCAGTGAGAGTGAACTTGTAAGGTGATGGTTGTGATCGAGCTTAGAAGGATGTAGAGTATGAGAAGAGACAGGCTAAGTGAGGTGAGGTCGGAAGCTATTTGGTATAGTATGAGAATGCTGTCGTGAAGAGGGTTATAATAACGCATGCTGCCTGGGTACGGACCCGTCTAAAAGGTTCGTAGAATGAATAGGGAGTGATGTATGGTAGTATGAGGGTAGTAATGTGATCATGATGTATTAGAAAGAGAGCATAGTTGTATTGATGGTAGGAGTAGCGTTGCCACCAGGAGAGAACAACAAGTTGATGATGTATTACGGAAAGAGACATGTAGAGTATTGCAGGGGGATGACCATGCGACAGAAAGAGTTGAAGACGGTTTTGGGACAGCGGGGGCTGTGCGAGGACTAAATATGGGGATGGAGGGCACGAAGAGAGGAGAGGATGGCGAGGTGTTCACGCGGATTGATGTGTGGTCGTATG